TTTAACATAAAAAAGGTAAATTACTTACAGTATATCTAGTAACTATTTAGTGAAGGTAAATTTTAGCGTGCCTTTTGTGCTGCTCTGTAAAAATAGTGAAGAATGCATTTCACAGTACAGGCTCAAGCACTACATTTCATTAAGAATACCTAACGTTTAAAAAAATGGAGTTATAATTTCATTAATTTATCATTTAATTCGTTGATAGAATTTTTACGTTCGGCTTTATACAAATGCAAAGTATTACTGGACTTTTGGTTGGAAAAGTGTTTACTGCAAAAACGTAAAGAATACAGAAGAGAAGAGAGAATGCAAAAGGTCTGGGAAGCACAAGTTTACAATTAGAGCAGTGTGCTTGTAATTGTACCTTTTGTCAGTAAGCTACATACTGTACCTGAGAAAAAAGACTGCAAGGTGGAAAAGCACCTCTACCTACTGGATGCAAAGGATTGAGAAGGTATTAAGGAAGGACGTTTCCTGACTTATTGGTAGGGTGTATTCCTCTATGGGGAATTTTTGTTTTTTTTCTGTTTTTAGTTTCCTTTTTGTCATTACATAAAAATGAAAGCAAGAATTCTAACCATGTCCTTTCATTGAGAAGACTTACTTTATCCATTGACCAATCAAAGCTGGAACCGAGATATTGCACTTTTGAGTGATCCTTGTCGTACACACACGTACAGTACTGTAGCAATGATTAGTGCTATCTAAAAACAAAGCCTATGAAGGTTTCAAAAGGACCTAACAGTTTTTAAATGGTGTAAGACTGCAATAGGTGGAGACAAGATGGCATATGTTTGTTGAAGCTCCTTCCCCAGAAAGCTTTGTGAAATCACTTGCAATCCTCAGTCACCTGACCAATTAGATGGTTTGTTTTCCTTGCACTTTAAATAAAGAACACTGCACTGTTTTATTGTGCCTTACAACTACATTTGTGTGCCTGTTTTGCTTAGTCCCATTGATTTTCAGATCCCCTTAGAGTACTCCTTCTCAGAGTGAGCCACAGTGGTCATTATAAATTCTACCTAATGTATTTCATGGACACCTTTGAATCGCAAAATGTTCATGAAAACAGTAATGGATCTCCAATGTTCATTTTTCCTGAAATAAAAATGATTTAATCAAATATTAATACCTGATTTAAAATTTGATTAATTAAATAATGTTTGTTTTATTATCATTTGTACCACTCATTTCACCTTGTTACTAATGTATAATCAAGTCTTTGCTTAGCAGTTTTCCCTGCTTTAATGTGATTCATTGGAGTGCAGCTAACCAGAGGGCAGCATATTGAGGAGTATCTTATAGGTCACATTGGAGCCGAGCTCAATGTCCAGCTCCCTTTTGATGTACTGAGTGCAGAACTATTCTACTTTGCTTATGTATAAATTCTGAGGATTAAAGATTGTTACTGTGCTTTTGAGAACAAGCTCTTCTTAAACGGGGGTAATATGTTAAGAAGGAGTCGCATACTGTACATTATAAATATACATAAATGCTGCCATTGGGGAATTTGCACTTTAGCGGAAAGTTAATTAGCATTAAGGTATATTGTGGCATACAGTGATTTTACTCCTGGATGGGAGCAGTAATTGATTGGCTAGATTAATTTAGAACTCTTTAAAATATGCAACAGTTTATGGGTTTCATCATTTGCTTCTTTGGAAGGGCATAATGTGGTTGTCATTCTAATTTTATCATCATGTATTTCCTGAATTCTAAATGTAAATTACAGTTCTTGATGAATTCTTCAGAGTTCTTCAGAAATCCATTGTTACTTATGAAACATTCTTGACCGCCTACAAGGGATTATAATACTGAAGCTGTCAAATTATGTCAATGATGAGAGGCACCTGGCAATGGGCAAGTTAAATACAGTATGCACAGTACATGTGCTGGAATAGCTAGTATAACATTTTTGTATTGACTGCTCATGCACAGTTTTCCTTGAGTTGACATTTTTAAAGATTCTACTCAATCTTAATAAAAAGATTGCTGATACAGATGGTTTTATCTCACTCAAACTAAGCTACACCTGAAGAAGGCTCCATGGCCGAAACGTTGTGTTTTTTCTCTCTTCTTTTTTTCAGCATGGAATAAACCTATTACTTGATCCTATATTAAGAAAAGTCAGTTATGATAACAGAAAATACTAGTGGAGGCTTTGAGTAAATTACTGATGTATACAGTACATTGTAACTCCTGATTGTCACTACACTGTCAAACACTTTCATGTTGTGTACAAATGCAGTGCAAAATATAGATATCGTATATAGAAAATAATAATAATTGTCTGTTCATTATGTTGAAAAATATTTATGGTGTTTCATTATAGAAAAGATACAGTATTGCTTCTCTTGAATCTGTCCAGAAAAGAACAATCAGATACAGTACATTCCAGGGCTTTAGGCAGTGGTTCTGGTGCTGGTGAGCCTGTTGGTTTTTGTTCTAGCTGAGACCATCAATTACACAATCATTAACTTAACCCTTCACTTAGTTTGAACTGTTTGTTCACAGCTCTTGAATATACTGTATTGGTGCTTTAACTGTTGTATTTTATAAGTGAACTAAAATCTTTACTAAAATCTTTACTTTACTGAAGTGCTCATTTTGAGTAATGAGCATAGACCTTAAGAAAAATCCCATATGTGACAAAGAAAATAATTACTTGAATTGACTACTCAGGTTTGAAAAAATAACAGAATACTCCTTTCATGGGATTAAATTTGGCACTCATGCTTTGGAGATACTTTTAATTAGTTGCTGATTAACACTTATAAACACGAAACCTGACTTCTTATTCAAATAATTACTTTAATTAAACTGTTAAGGTCATAGTTAGAATAACGCCTGATGGACTGAAAACCAATGACAGTTCATTTTTAAGCAAGCACCCACTGAGTGCTTTTCATTATTTAGTTTTGTGTTCCTGTCTATAAAAATCATATTAACTATGCGTAACCTCTATCATGGCCTCCTACAGAAATGTTTAGCCATTTTGTTTTAAGATAACAGTTATTCTTGAGAAATATGTGTTTTATTATATGAAAATCAGCCTTTTAGCTTAGTGGATATAAGCAAATGATCTTAATTATGAGGAATACCAGTAAATGAACCAATTAGTTTTCATTGAAAGTTAATTATACATGAGTAGCAAATCCAGTACATTTACCAATGTGTTTTTATTCTAATTTCTTTGAATTAAAGATAAATGTCTTGGTTAATAAATGGTTTCTAGATAGATAGATAAGACTTTATTGATCACGAAGGGAAATTGATGATAAGCATTTTAGCTGGTAGGACGCTGAGCTAATACAAGCTAATAGAATTTCTATTCACTCAAACTAAGCTGTATCAGTAACTATTGAAGTTGTTGTAATAGTAGAGAACACTAGAGGAATTCAGTCGTTGTCTAGGGGGTATGTCTGCAGCTTCTAGATCTCTAGAAAACAGCAGCATCAAACAGACCCAGACAAAGCTCTAAAACTGGCCCAGTTTAGTCAATTATGACCTGATTGACATTGTTAAAAGATGAGCTTAAATGATAACTGTTGTTGATATTCATTACATACATACTGTACTGTAGTACAGTAATTCCTAATTGTAAAGAAGATGTCTAAGAGTTTTGCAAAGCAGCAGACTTTCATTATATAGCCATTCAAAAGTAAAAGAATGAAAAATCAGTCATCCCTAACATCCCAAAAATATATGGATTAGTTTTCAGTATCTCACTCTTTTACTCTTTGCATCTGACTGAAAGTGATTTATGTGGTGAAGAAAATAATGACCACCATCATTCTATTTATAAATTATTTTCTCTGGAAGGCAATGTTTGCTTGTGAAAATGGGGTTGAAACCTTGTCTCTGTCTTTGTGAAGATAATGTACAGTATGCTGCAGGATCACAAATACAAAATGTAAAGAGACACTTCCTCAAGAGTGTAAAAATTCACCTGCATGTGATGTTTTTTCCCTCATGCTCCTGATATTTTTGAATTACTTTTGCATTAAATATTTATCAAGATCAGACCAAGGAGTTCCCACAGTGAGCCCATGACACTTTTCATATTGTGTTGCTGAAATAAACTGTTTTCACACTTCTCCTGAAAGTTGCCAGCCTCAGGAGGTGAAATTGTTTGTAGGACAGTAGTTGTAATGGAAACAAGTGAAATATTCTGTGAAATGTCAGAGAACCCCAGGAAGCACCAAAATTAAAAAAAATATATATCAGGACCCAGGTGACACAGTGGCACAGTGGTTTGCAAGTCTGCCTCATAGCACTGGGGCCCTGGTTTCAGTTCCAGACCTTAGGGTACTATTTATGTAGAGTTTTTATGTTTTCCACATTTTCAAGTGGGTTTCCTCTGGGTGCTCCGGTTTCCTCCAACAGTCCAAAGACATACGTTCATTGGATTCTAGGAAAATTACCCCTGATTGTGAGTGTGTTTGTCAGTGTTTGTATCTGTGTGTGCTCTGCAATGGACCTGGAATCCTATCTGCCTCATCTTGATAGAGTATTTAACAAATGGATGGATAAAATGTAACCTGCTTCAGAAGTCAGATAGAAGAGAAAACGATTAATATATAGGTAGAATAAACAACTAGACAGGACAGAAAAGAATAAAAAATAATGTATATCAGTGACAGTTATTCGTGCATCAGGAAATTGGCTATTAAGACATTTAGAGTTGGCATTCAGGTTTGTCTGAATTCCTTCCAAGCTTTAACCTGCTGTGTTTCAGGTGCATTTATGTATGTATAATTCCAAATATGCTACAATGTGTTAAAAAAACAGAATATACTGTGTTACATTTTTTCATGTTCATTTCCTAATGCTGTTCAGGAGCAGTCAGAGATGTTCCAGGTCCTGCTCTAATGGAGGGTTATTTTATGAAATGCAAAAAAGAAGTGTTTATTAGTAAACTGTAAAAGAAATAAAAAAAATCCAAATGTTTCAGGTCTAATATTAAAGGCTTACAGCTGTCCACTTATTTTTTTTAGGAACTTCTACTACATCACTATGCTGAGAGACCCAGTATCCCGATACTTAAGTGAATGGAAGCATGTCCAGAGAGGGGCTACGTGGAAGACTTCTCTGCACATGTGTGATGGAAGGTCCCCCACACAGGATGAGCTGCCCACCTGCTACATAGGGGATGACTGGTCTGGAGTGACGCTGCTGGAATTCATGGATTGTGCCTACAACCTAGCCAACAACCGACAGGTTCGCATGCTGGCAGACCTCAGCCTGGTGGGGTGCTACAACCTCTCGTCCATGAACGAGAGCGAGCGGAATGACATTCTGCTGCGTAGCGCCAAAAACAACCTCAAAAACATGGCCTTCTTTGGGCTGACGGAGTACCAGCGCAAGACGCAGTACCTCTTCGAGAGGACATTCAACCTGCAGTTCATCTCGCCCTTCACGCAGATCAACAGCACCCGGGCCGCCAACGTCGATATCAGTGAGGCCACACGGAGACGCATAGAGGAGCTGAACTTCCTGGACATGCAGCTGTACGAGTATGCCAAGGACCTTTTCCTGCAGCGCTTCCAGTTCACCCGGCAGCGGGAGCACCAGGAGGAGAGGCAGAAAAGGAGAGAGGAACGCCGACTGCTCCGGGAACAGAAAGCATACCTTTCAAGGCAGCGGGAGGAAGAGGTCACCACAGAGGACTACACCAGTCAAGTAGCTAGGTGGTGATGGAATTTACCTAAAAAACTTGATTGGATTAGAGTTTTTTTTTAGTTTAAGTGTGACATTTTACTGAGTTTCATCATTTGAGATATAAATAATAAAACTGCCAAGTCTGTGAGCCACACAGCTTACCCTGCCTTGGAGTGCTCTTTTGCTGTCTTAAACTTTAAAATGGATGTATTTATTTTCTTCTTAATCCTTCCCCATGCTTTCTATTGTGATTATTTACAGTACTTAATATGTATATTGTGGGGACTGCGTGTGGAGAGTACAGTAAATGAAGCTTAAAAGCAAATTTACCAAGTTCCAGCAGAGGGTACGGATTATCATTGTTAGAGATTCAAGGACTCTGGGTGAAGATAGATCAGCATGTGAGCAATTCCTTTGACAGCATAGCACTAGCTCAATATTTAATTAAAAAAAATCTGTGTATGTGACTTCAGTGCATTTAAGAAGTGTAATTACTGTATGAATGAGTGTGATGTCACACACGTAGTATTGCTGATAAATACAATTTGCCTTTAAAGTTTTTCGTAGATTAAAGATGATTGGATCAGCAGTACAGTACTATGGCAGATGATACCATAGTTCCCTTGCATCCTTTAACACAGTATCTCTACTGCAGCCCTTGAAAATCATGTTTTTCAAAACAAAAATACACATTTTCTTACTTTATGATATAATAGGAAAGAAAATGTTAAGACAAGTGACATCTAGAGAGTGTAAAAAAATACGTACACAAGGAGAAAATTATATTTAGCCAAACTAAGATAGTAATGTTCTGTAATATCCTTAAACAAAAACATAATTAGGTGGTGTAAGTAGTTCCATGATAAGTTATGAATAAATGTTTTGGAATTGAAAAGAGCCCTCGTATTTGCTGTTTTTTAACTTTTTTTTAATTCCCCTCCCTCCCCCCCAAAAAAAAAAATAACCACCTCACGCCAGCCTCCCTCATAGGAACCCCTCTGTACTGTACTGTATGTTTCTAGCTGAGGACCTCTAAAATATGGTCAAACAGCTACAGTATGATGGAAGCCCCTGTGTCAGTAGCAGCACTCCAATCCTCCACAGTCCTCCCACTGGCAATACGGATCTTAAAAGTCAAAAGTTCCACATAAATAATGTCACAACCAACAAGGATCCAGTGATCCTAAAAAATGGTCAAACAGCTCGTAGGAAATTCATGAAGTCACAGTGTTGTTCAGCAAAGGTTAGAAATTTGATTAAATTTGTTACAAAAAAGCAATTTTCCACACAACACCCAAGAAGATACCCACAAAGTACATCCTTTTGTGCTCTGAATTCAGTCATCCTAAGGAAGGTTTTATAATCTGAGTATAACCCCTGCCACTTTCTATTATTACCATAAAAGGGTGTTGAGAAGTGATTGCTGTACCTGTACAGTAGACAGTATGCATTATACAAGGATTTTTCTTCACATGTCACAATGCCTATTTTTGACAAGGACATCCCCAATTTCCAGTTATCCCCAAAATGTCACATACAACAGATGGCTGTCTCCATACGTTTAGAATGAATCCCAGTTTCTACAGCTGCAATGGAAACACTTGTGCAGCAAGGCTTTAACTGTGTCAGCAGCTGTACAGCAAGCCTTCACCTGCTCCCTCACTAACACCACAGATCCTAGCAGGCAGAATTTAAAGATACACGAGGATCCAACTCTGCCAGGAAAGGGGACGCAGAGGTCACCAACACTGTGCCAGAGTCATACTGTAACAGCAGTGAGGCAGCTCTATTGATCCCCCTTTAAAATGCACAGAGTGGAGACATTATCAGCAAGATTGCTTAATGTAAGCAGAAATTACCCTTACATTTGGAACAATGGACAAATAGGAATTCAACCATTTCTGGATGCTCCCCAAGCATGTGTACAAATGTGCTCACAAACCCCTGCCCCCACCTCCCCAAAATGAAACGTATTCAGTGAACTAGAAAACTCTCTTCATGAAATGCCATCCGCAAGGGGTCAAATACAGTCTGCATCTGCAGATGCTTATAAGAAATCCAGTTAAGAGTAAAGATCTGGAATCAGAATCAGAACAAAAGATGAAGTTCATGCTAATTTTGGAAATCCAATGGTGTCCAGTGCCTGAGAAAATATACAAACAGTATGTATTTTGTTCCAGGGCTTACAGCTGTCTAATTGTTTCTACTACATCACCATGCTGAGTATATCATGAAACGTAATCCTGCCCACTGTGTTTGCTTTATTCAGACCCTGCACAATTCCACAGAACACAAATGTCGTCTATCATAATAAATTATAATCTGTATTTAGATAAGAAGGTACTTTCAATAAAAGGCCACTAGGGGTTTTCCCAAATAGATGATATCAAGGAGCTACTGTAACAATTTGATTGCATATATGTTTGTCTTTAAGATTTTTGTATGCTTTTCTTGGTCATAAACACTATTATAAAGTCAAATCATGAACAGTACAGGTATGAGACTTAGGAATCCTTTACTGTAATGCAACAACAGTCCTGATCAGAATCATTAATTACCCAGCCCCTTCAAATCTTTATAATGTGTCAGTTTTAAGAATTTAAAATCTTGTACATTTTCTAACATCTTGGGAGTTGTTGTTTTTTAAACCACCATCTGTCTGTATTAAAATATGAAGTCAATCAAGGACATATACGAAACAGCAAAGGAAGATTGCCCAGTCAAGCAAATCAGTCTGAGTTTTATTCCATTCAGTATAAAACTGATGACATCAGGTTTTCACATCTCAAAAAGAAAGATCTTACATTTTAAAAATTGTTGCATTTTTAATCTATTGAGTTTGTTGACATGTCAGAACAACAGAAAATCTGTTTATTTTAAAGTAAAACTCTTAAGAATTTATTGGCATGAATAATGTATCTAAACTTTCACGGTTGAAGAAATATTTTAACTTGGGTTTGGTTCACCCTGTTAACAGTGAATTCACCCTGGGTATCAGCATACTATATATCCTAGAGCTCAAAGTTAATTAATTGTGATTTATACATTCCCTCAAAAAAATATTTTAAACATTCTTTACATATTACTTATTGAATTGATTTTTTTTTAAAGGAATATTTTCAACCAAAATGTAGCCTTTATTTTGTTTTGTGCTTTTGTTGTACTAATACATAAAGTAGAATTCCAAAAAATAGCAAACTCAGCAAATATTTCAATTCAAGGTTGCCTGTATCATCCTGAGCTGTTCTATGTTTCATCCTGTGAAAGGGCTTACGAACAAATGGAACACAAATCCTCTCTGAAAAAGAGATGCCTTGTATAAAGTTGTTCTCTTATAACTTTAATGAATAAAAAGACCATATAAACCCTGTAAAACTACCATTTGATAAAAAATGTACCTGTATGATCTCTGTTAATTTTGCCTTTAAACATGATTAATAACAATAACAATAACAATAATAATAAATAAATATTGATTTATTTTAAGTACAGTAGGTAGCTGGGTGAGCATGCGTAGGCTACAAAGTAACGAATAATGCTGAAAAGAAAAGAGACACAACGTTTCGGCTGTAGAGCCTTCTTCCCAACACCTTTTTTTCTTATATTTCTTATCTTTTCAGCATAGAATAAACCTTTACTTGTTCCTTAATTATTTTATCTTAATGTCCTATTGGATCATTCATTATATGGTATATTCTATATCTTTTATGAATAAATGAGCCTTGATGCAGTATGCAAAGATACCTTGAAGCACAGGAAAACTGTAGCAAAACAAAGTTCTGAATCTAATCAAACTCACACTTTACACACAGACCTATTTAAACCTATGTTTCTATAGTTTGTTTATTAATTATAACAAAGGCATCTAGAAACAAATGTTACCTGAAACTAAGCAGGAGAGAAACAATAATAACCTTAATACTTCTAAAGGAATGTATCTAGTGGAATACTGTGAACTAATTTTGACATTTCCAATAACCTGTGATAATTAAAGATAATTCAAAATCATTCAGAAATAAAAATATAAACAAAGCTCTGTGATCCAGTGACTGGCCACACACTTGTATTATTGTTTTTGAGGGGTGATGGAATTATTGTTTATAATAGTTCAAACGAGCTCCACTATCTCGAGTTAATTCATTTTGAATATCAACTAATCAGTGCAGATCTGGTGTCTCCTGCAAGAGAGTATCATTTTGAGAATATATGGTACAGTAGGAGTCTCCTGGTGGGCCTTGTATCTGCTTATTTTTCTTCCAACCTGAGTACTCAATTAAACAATTAGCCTACTTTTTCCATTAATTATACATATACAGGCTATTACCTATGGTTTTCTTACAGTTAACAGTTAATGACTCAAAATACTCAATTAAATGTACTGTTACTTCTAAAGAATCAGAGCCAACTTACAAGTATTATACTTAAGCGGTTAATTAAAGAATTACACAATCTATGAACTGAACTGAGAGCTCAGGTTTGAACAAAATTGAGATGACACTAGACCCTCCGATAACTTACAATCCTGATCTGAAGGTTTTTTTTTAACTCACCTATTATGATATTTTACATTTAATAAACATATATTACAAACACGGTTTCTGTATAAATTAAAATATAAGAAACTGAGTGTCCAATTACCTTTTGTGTCTGTAAATAAAGCTGCACAGTGAATATGTAAAGAACAAAAAGTTTTATGGAAAAGTAAATGTAACTTTGTGATCAGGGGTAATTTGTAACTATGGAGTTTTCACTAATCATGTGCCCATTTTCATCATAGATTTTAATTTTACCTACTGTGGTAAAAAAAAAAAATCTCAATGCCTATTCACTGTTTATACTGTTAGCATGCACGCAAAAAATAAATTGGCTAAAATTGAGCAATATTTAAAATGCTAAATGTCACATTCCTCAAGTGCTCAATATTCTCACCATCACAGACTTCTCTTTTGCTTATCGAAAACATGGCTGTAGAGTCTCTGAGGTATAAACCACTACTTTGCAATCCGAAGGACCAATTATACTTACTTTGCGCAATAGGACATTTGAATGAAAAGAGGAAAATCAGAAAAAACGCCTATAGTTCTGTTATTAATAATGACTATGGTCTTTGGCTGTTAAAGTACTGTTTTAATGTATAAAATTGTATGTTCCCACTTAAATTATTGCAATGTAAAAAAAGGGAGTCTTGATGCCATTTGACGTTGCTAATTTTATCAGTGTCTTTATTTCTGTTAGATCTGCAAATGCTGATTGAATACTATTAAAAAAGTTAGAAATAAATGACTAAAAGAAATAGACTGACTGTCTCTTTTAATTTGCATCGATTTAAATTGTGATAAGCCTGTCTTCACATTTGATAAGAAATACTCAGGCAGTTTGAGGAAATAAAATGTAAAATTGATTTTAAAACCTTTGCATGGCCACTACAGGCAAGCATCTACAGGTCTTGTTATTTGTAATTAACAAATAGGTCTTTCCTAGTTGTAATTAATTGTAAACTTAAAAACATGTAGTAATTGTAGTAGTAGCTGTCTCTTTGCTGATCACGGACCATAACCTTAGTTTAGTATATTCTAATGCTGTAAGGTAGTTCAGACTGTGTCTATTCTTGCCAGCTCTATCATTATAGAAGCAACACTTCTGACTTTGGAAAGACAATACAATACAAAAATACAGAAGGAATAATGTTTTCTATCCCCACTCATTGTTAGAGTATTTTTAATGTCTTACTGTCATCTGCAGTGGTTGTGCCAAATGTGGCAAAAAGTGCCAAAAGTTAAAAAATAGAAATGCTTCTTAGCTGTTAAATCTACAGTAAATAACTATTTAGCAATAAGAAAAGGAAATTCACTTTTGACTGGTCAGCAACTCACCTCCCTGTTTTCCCTTTCTTCAGATAATGAAAAAAAGAGAGGAAGAAAACTGACACACTCCAATAAATAAATAAGCTGTAAGAAATATTGTGTATACCTTTAAAAGTGCAGCCACTGTTGTATGATTCAAGACATTGAATCACTGGTCTGTAACACCTTCCTACACATTTTGTAGACAGGATAGGCAGCTTCTTTATCTGCCTGGAGTTCTTTAAATTTTACTGAAGATGTGAAAAAATAGAAACTTATTCTTTTGCTTTTTTATAAAAAAGAACATTTTAAAGCATATAGGCATAAATGTATAGTGCACATTACTGTAATAGTTTTCAGATGTATTGGTAGTATATTTCCTGTGTAACTGTTCCTTATTCTTCAGTGCAGGTGACATTTCAATTGGCAACCATGTCTCCTTTCAGATCCTAACATAATATTTCAATTGGATCTATGTGGTTTAATGTAGACATATTCAGAATTTTACATGCAGGCAATAAAAATTGTAAACTATAAATACAAAATACAAAACACTAAACCAGAAGAGGGTATTTATCAAAAATACTTTGATGTTTACATTGACATGTTCTAGACATTGTGGGGAAGTTATTAAAAAGCAAACACAATGCTAGGATATTTAAGAGCACAGCATTGAAATCAATAGATGTGCTAAAATGCTATGTTAAAATTGTATAATGCACAACTCATTTAAGCTATTAATTTTGGTCACCAAACTTTATTGTGGAAACGATATACAGTAGCTGCTCTGAAATAGAGTCCAGAGAAGAGCAACCACATACATTTCAGGTCTTAAAGGTTTAAGTGATACTGACAGGCTGAAGGAACTTTTTAGTCTTGAACAGAGAAGACTATGTGGGTCTTGATACAAGTATTCAAAATCTTTGACGGTAACCCAATGGACTTCTACAGAATGAACAGTGAAACACAAACCAGAGGACACAAGTTGAAACTATATGTACAGTAAGAATATTTAAAACCAAGAATAGCTTTTTGCATAAAGGGTTGAGGGAGTATGGAACAAGCTATCCATCCATGTTGTTGAAGCCAAAACCCTAGCGTCTTTCATGAAACAGCTGGATGAAATCCTTGGATCACTTACTGTAACTACTATGAAATGGGCTATATAGGCCAATTGGTCTCCTCTTATTTGTAAACTTTTGTAAGTTCATATAAATTCTTATCTTCTGTGTCCTTTTTTTTCTATCTCCCTTTAAATTTTTTAAGAAATTGTGATTTTTCCACTAAAACATTTATATTTATTAAAAGATTATAATTAATTCAAGGCAAATTGTAGTTGAACACCACTGAATATCCAGTTTCCACAAAATTAAAAATTGTTTTGACATAACATGATATTTTACAAAAGGTCTACAATTCTGCCTTAGCTGTCATATTTACATCTGTTTTCTTAGGGCACAGTTTTTATGCTTTATGGATGGATCCTTGTCATCAGTTCCCTGTTTTGAACTTTCACACTTGAAAAGTCAGATTCAAATCAAAGGTGACAAGTTTTGCTTTGGCTGAAAGAATTGAATGTTTTCATTCTTGAACTGAGAAGACTATGAAGACTATTGTATGTGGGGACATAAGCCATGTATTCAAAAAGATCAAACACATTGCCAAAGACAAACCAGGGGACTTTAGCAGAATGAACAGTGAAACAAGAACCAGCTTACACACTTGCAAAATACATAGAAAGGTATTTAAAACTGAGAAAAAGCTTATTCTCACAAAGGGTAAAGTATACAGCACAGTACTCAGCCATATTGTTAAAACTGATGCCTGGCGTGAACCCAGGTGAAGAAATAGCTGGATGAGATCCTTTTATCATTTACCTACTAACTAGCGAACTGGTTAATTAGGCTGAACATCCACCTCTCTTTTGTAATTATTATGTTCTTACTTGGGCAGCATAGTGGCACAGTGGTTAGCTTTGCTGTCTCGCAGCAGTGTGGGACCCTGTGTTCACTTCCTAATCTAGAGATATACTGTACCAACTACTGTATCTGCACGGAGTGTACTATATAAATTATCCCTGTGTGTGCATATGTTTCCCCCAGGTGTTCCAGTTTCCTCCCATATTCCATCCAGATCCTACACATGCTGGAGGTTTATAAAATGTTGGGAAAACTGGCTCTAGTCTGAGAGTGTGTAATAGTGTCTGTGTGTGACCTGCGATGGACAAGCATCTCATCCAGGGTCTATCCTGCAATGCACCCATTGCACCCATTGCTTGTTAAGTTCCAGGTCCCCCATGACCCTGAGCTAGAAAATGGAAGAATAGGTGTTCTTACTTTTGAAATGAATCACTGAATGCAAAAACCTCTTTTACCTCTGCAAGAGGTAACTAGAAGAGATGCATGCAGAGATGTGGACAAATGGCAAATATTTATACTTACGAATGCAGAAGCGCCTGAATACAATTTGACCTTGTCCTGAACCTCTACTGACCAACGTTGTTTGCTACAGTTTGGATTTTTTTTGTTACTTTTGTTACCCCTACTGTTTTCCCCTTCCATTCACTAAAGTTATTTCAGTCCTTTCAATTCCATCAGGATGCCAAATCACATTCTGTAT